CAGAAGCTTCTAATCAATGTCAACCCTATACTGAGTTCACTGTTGATCCATGTACATATATATGTATTTCTTTTTCTTTTTTTTCTCCGCAACGTCCATATACTTTTCAGCTCATCTTTTCTTCTGGAGAACACTCAGGTTTCACTATGATCCAGAATGATTTGATGATGATGATGATGATGATGATGATGATGATGATGATGAGAACTTTTCTAATATTCTTTCTGGTTCTTGATATTCTCCAAGTTTATCTGCATAAATCCATTAAAACAATGCATGAACACATGGCCATTACACAAGTCAAAACCAACAATTCATGTTTCTTAGATTACCAAGAGAAGATCTTCGTCTGTGCCAAACGATTTCCGCGCATTCTCCAGGCATTTTGACGAGATCCTCTCGTGTATCCTGCCCAAAAAAAAATTCTGCAAATTCTTATTTGTATCTAGTAATGGCACTGACATGTACCAAGCAAGATGACGCATAAGTTTCTTTCTTGCTACTGCGATTTATATGAGACTCACGAATGTCTCTTCGTACTAATCTAAAATGGTAATAAAACTAGCATCAACAAAGACTATCTGCAATGTCTAATGGAATATATAGAGTTTAAACCACTACACTAACTCCATGGACCATAATTTTCCTTTGTTTAGAAATCAACTCATTCCTAAAACAATTTCAACCTTCTATGCTAATATATGAACGTGGCAGCCAGGTACAACATCTCAGGGAAATTTTCTGGAGGCACTGTTCTCTATAATTATTGAAGCAATGAGATATAACAAGAAATTACTTGGAACTGGCAGGATCTCTGATCTCAAACTCATCCCTGGCAGCATCGTAGCCGCATATCACGATATAGTGACCTATTGGAAACATGAAGTAAGCAAATAGATGAAAAAAAAAATAGCAAATGTAGGCTTTACTGACAAACAGGGAAAACCAATGAGTGCTGCCAAGCCGGATTTAAGAAGAAGATCAATAAGTGATACTTGATAACGTTTTTTTGCTTTTTGAGAGTCTAGTTTTAAACTCGAGTTAATTATAAGAAAGAGCACTTTGTCTGGCACTGGTTTCATAAATTTCAGGAGTTCAAATGATTATAAGAGATTATCGACAAAAGGAAATCTAAGATGAGGAAGCTGGGTTCCTGTTTTGAAAGACAAGAAACGGGGTCTAAGGCAGGGGGCCATTTCTCACCAGTGTAGCTGGAATAGGTGTTGTGAAGACCAGCGACAATCACGTCTTCCAACCAAGACTTGCTGCAATAAAAGTAAAAACGAGCATTAACACTAGACAACTTCTTTATCATACTTCTAGCACAACCATTTGACATAAGAAAGACAAATTCCGAACACATCCGAAGTTTGTTGATAAGGGCTCTCACTAGAGGGCATACATGAGAAAAAAAAAAAGACAACCAACCTGAGCTTGTCTTGGTCAACTAATGCAATGGCAATATAGTTCCCCGACAACAGCAAACAAGAAATTTCATGGATACTAACTGACCTGCACTGCAAAAACGAAGATTTTTTATTGAATTTGATTTCCAAATAATAAAAAGATACACAAGGGAAGGTTTGATGACACGTGACTTTCCACAGAAAAGCTAAAACAATGTACTGATTTAGTGATAAGTGTATATACTTAAACTTAAGTCGTAGTACTATCTTTGGGTAGAAAAATTGGCCACATATTTCAAGCAACATTAGTGGAACAAAATTTAGCCAGAAATGTTCTTCAACACAGGAGCAAGTATAACCATTTGGCCAACGGGTTTACCTGTATAATAATGCCAGATTCATGTGCTTTTCTGAAGAGCAAATCCACACGCACCAGATCTTCAGGGAGCTGCTCCTGCATCATGATTTCCAAAAGGAACATTTACTACTTAGAAGAACCAAGTTCATATAAGAATCAACATTTCATTTAACATACTTGATGACGCACAGCGCATCAAATGGTGCATGAGAAACTATCAAACAAAAATTTAGAGTCTTTGGCATCTGTAATATAGATACCTTGTAAAATTCCTCTATGGAGTAATTTGGATTTGCTCCGAATGTTATAGTGAAATAGGAAAATTCCACGCAGAACTTTTGCAATAAATATGCGAGATCTACAGTCCAAATGCTGCAGAAATGTCAAAAAGTTGATGATAAGTATCTTAGTGAGATATCATTCCCTACCGAATGTTTTTCATCTCTAAGAAGCAGACAAGGCTTAGAATATATAGAGGTGGGGTTACACTGGTGATGACAGTTTCTAAAGGTATAATAAGCAGACCTATTTGTGGAGCATATCTCAGCCAAATCTTCAATAGTGCAGCTTGTGATGCCACTTGCTCTTAGAACCATGAGAACACAAGCGAGACCGCAATCCCATGAAGCTAACTGATGTACATGAGGGACCTAACGGAAATGAAAAGGACCAGCCATGCGGCAAAGAGGAAGATAAGTTGCAGTAAACCTCTCCTATAGCTCCAGTTTCTATGCTCACTAGATCGAGAGACAAAGAAAAGAAAAAGTAAAATATGGAAAGGGAAAAGTCTGTCTCACTTCCGTCTGGGAAGAGGATGGCAAGCCGGCATCTTTGTAGTTTCCATTAGTCACCACCAACGGGTCGAATTGGCGATATTTTGCAGAAATCGAATCTCCATGTTCTTCTGATCTCACCTGATTCCTCTCTTCAACTTTCAAAAGTTTGTTAAGCAGAAAACAAAGAGGCCACATCAATTTACCAAGTGCGTCTTGTTTGAACGCCAAAAATGGCCTGCAAAATACACCTGAAATTATGTACGACACAATTGGAGAATCGTCAAATACAAGGAAGAATAAACTCACACGACAAGCTAAAAACCTGCAGAGACACTCAAATACGTTCGTTTTACCAGTCAAAGTGAAATTGGAAAGCGGAAGCTACGTCATACCAAACCCCTATGAAACCTTTACTTTTCTTCAACAAAAGAAACTCTACTAAGAACGGTTCAACAAAATTGCCCACAAATAATCGGAATCCAGTTTCGTTCGTAAAATATGTTTAATCTCCACTGGCACCAGAACGTGTCACAGTCGCGAAACAATGATGCGGAAATTTAGACGAGATTCGTATCTAAGGAATCGACAACCAAACCGATCTAAATCGTAAATTCTGCGATCGGGTTCCTCGGAAACTGAAATCTATATCTTCAGGATTTTGCCGATCGATTGCAGGGAGGGAGAGAGCGAGAAGGAGAAATCACCTTTGCTTAAGACGCAAGAGAGCGAGGATTGGAGAAGAGAATAGAGGAGAATATGGAGGATTTTGTTTTCCTGGAAAATCAATTTTGGTTTTGGATAAAGGAGACGAGCTGTAGCTGCTCGTTTCTCGTGTTTTTTTCCTTGGGAAAGCGACGAATCCTACGATGGCTCTAATTAAAGGCTTTTTTTTTTTTTTGACGACAAAAAAAAATAAAGGCTTTTTTTTGTTGTTGTCTTTGTCTTATTCATCATCCTCCAACTCATCTAATGTGCCTAAACCGGTGACAACAAACCGTAAATTATGCAATAACTGGAACTAAACCATATTCTAATCAGAAACATCCGACGACAATATATTATTTATATATGATGTGTCAATTTCAAAAGCATTTGACAAAAAAAAAACATAATTTCAAAAACTTATAAGACCCACCCTTTTATTCCATATTCTCACTTATTTAGTTATTTTCTCTATTTATTTATCCTCTCTATACTCAAACTCATGCTAAAAAACTCTTTTTTGTTTTCTTCACTTAATCTTCTTCAAGATTTCAAATATTTTTTTGGTTAGCATTTGAGTTGTTTTTGATGCAATTTTTCTCCTTCCTTTTTCACTCAATCTTCTTCAGTAATTCAAATGTTTGTTTTTTCAGCATTTGAGCTATTCATGTTATGTCTTTTGATGCATTTTTTTTCTTTTCTTTTTGTTTCACTTAATCTTCAGAATTTCATATGTTTTTTTGCTTTAGTAACCAAAGTGGATTAAATTAAAAAAAAAAATTGTTTTGGTTATTATGTAATCTCTATCTCTTTTCAACTTGCTTTTTACTTATTTTTTATCCGTTTTTACTCATTTTTAACTCGTTTTTCACTTTTATGGTAATCTCAATTTTTTTTTCACTTAATATTTTTCAGGATTTTATATGTTTTCTGAGCTTAATGACGTAAAATGATGCATTAATGGAAGAAAGCATAACAATGGTGGATGAAGATGAAAAATATAACGCCGGCGAAATGGAGGTTCACGACAACTCTAACGAGGAATTTCCTGAAGAATTTATAGATGTAATGGTGGAAAGTGCGCTTGAGGAGGCACCCATTACAGTTTCAGTGATTTGATTCCCTTCCTACAACCAAGCAGTGGGAGATGTAAGAATTGGATGAGTACGAGGCAGATGTCAATGACGAACATCATTGGCCAGTTCACACAATGTTTTTGCTATGTAAATACTAACTCTGCTTAATTTATTATATATATAATTTATAAGCTTATAAGACACCATTTTTATTTCATATTCCCACTTATTTAGTTATCTTTCTATTTCTTTATCCTTTCTATGTAAAAAGAAATTATTTTTGCAATTTGAACTGGTGCAATAATAGAGCAACACCTAAACCACTAAACCATATAAACGTTTTGTAAAATAATGGATATTGATGAAGTTTTGTCTATTCAAGACCTCATCAAGAAGACTCGAAAACATAAAGACATCAACGAATAGTGGAAATACTCATCTTAGTTTAACAAGAGATGCAATAGTAGAAGAAAGAATAGCCGCGATAAATGGGGATAAAAAAATGAATATCACGCTGGCGGAATGGATGTTCACCATAATTATGGTGATGAATTCTCAGAGGAGTTCATGGATATACAGGTTGAACATGCACTTAAAGAGAGACCTGTAATAGCTTCACTAATTTGGTTTCGTATGCATCACATTCAGCCTGTGTTGGTGTGAATATCTCTTAAAAACAAATGGCTTCCTTATCCACCTCCGTTGTAGCTTCGGCTTCCTCGCGTCTATGGCAGCCTGCTTCGAACGGGGAAGATCAGTGGTCCTTCCCGACCTCTCTTCTAGAGGAACGGGTTCGAATCGGAGTCCATTCTCTCTCAGCTCTTCCACCTCCGCCTCGCTTTCTTCTCAGCTGCTCCATTGCTCCTTTTCTCTCTTCCTCTCTCTCCCTATCCTCTACGTTTTCTGGTTAGGTCTCCTCAATTTTGGTTTGGTTTTCGGTTTCCCGTCGTCACTGGGTTTGTGGATTATATCACTCTTGGTTTTTGCTTCAATTTATAGAGATTGG